CCCCAAAACCCCAAAACCCCAGCATTATTAAATAGCTAAATTTTTAAAGCAAAAGTATAATTATAAGATAAATGCAATTAAATGGATTTGAATAAATCATTAAATTCTCAATATACTATGAGTTAAATAATCTTAAGCATTTTAGTTTAATAATAGCTTATAATTTTTAGTCTATAGCTCATTCACTTTCTAATTTGCCCTTAAGACAAAGAGCCTTCATCAGAGGCACCCAACTAATATCTCCTGAATCGTACTTCTCAAAAACATAAGATTCAATACCAGTGTACTCAGTAGGATCCTTCATTTGCAAGTAGACAATGTAGTACACATACTGCCATAGATTGTGATCTCTCTCAATATGTCTCTCGAAACCATCAGAATATTTATCAAACTATATTTTCAGGTAAGACAAGAAAACCTAAATTGCTTACAGTATATCTATCAAGACTGCAAATAAAGCATATATTCTGCATATCCTCATCCATCTGCTTCTTGTTGTCTCTCAGCTCTATAATGTATGAAGAGATCTTGCATTATCTTACGGGCAAATGTATCAATGATAATACCAAAAAGAATGTTAAGCATCATAACGATAACTGTCAAATGGAATGTACAATCATAAATGAACTTAATGAACCATCTCTCTGGATCGATGTAACCAATAGGCATTGTGGAATCACCTATACCTCCTCCGTTTCTTAGACCTAAATTAACGCAAGTGACAAAGCATTAAAGCATGTTTCCACACATGTTTTCACCGATATTGTCATTATCATATTTGTCCACGTTATAGTCGACAAATGTATCTTGCAAATAGAAGAAACCAATTGTAGTGTAAATAAAGATGATACACAATTGAAGCAGACCTGTCATGAGTAATTAGGTAGAATTCATTGTAACTGACTTAATAACGTTCTACAATACTGGAAGTCTTGTCTATAGGTTTCAATTAATTACAAGTGAAATTATACAATAAAATCTAGAAGATGGAAAGCATAGTAGATATCCAAGTAGAATAGACCAAGCAGGGAAATCATGAAATACAGCACATAATATTGGAAGGTACCATCTTGGAAGAAGAAGCATACATTGAACAAATAATACTGTAGCCTTGTAAATGCATTTCCAAATTGAAGGTTATCTCCCAAATTGAACTCAGGAGCTTCTGGTCCCTATAGATGATTTTAATGCAGTATTTTTTTACCTTTGTCATAAGAATTACTGTAGTCATCTCGATACTCATTTCAGTAACATCTAGTCTATCTTCATTACTGAATGTTTTGAATCTTCCTCTGTTATTCTTTATGTACTCTCTCCATCTAGCTTTAGTAATCAGACCTCCTCTAGTGAATGCAAAGAAGAAAATCAAAATGCCACTGGAAAGTCCCTAAACAATACCAGCATAGTAGATAAAACTAGTCACCCAAGATGGGGAAAATGGAATCTTGTAATTATCATATCTCTCCAAAAATATAACCAGTATTAGATTGATAATAACTGCCATTAGGGTTGAAAAATCTTTAAGCACAGCCAATCTTTGTGGAGTAATCTTGATCTTAGCTCTATTAAGAGCCTCGTTGTGAATCATTTCATCAATCAAGTCTGGGCAAGCATTCATTAAGCCCTAAAATCCAAATGATGAGACACATTAGACATCATAAAATAAATAATTTATAGTTAGCATTAACTTACATTAACTTTAGAGGCTTAAGACTCTCTGTTGACATTAGTCATTAAGGTTTTTCTGCTTTCTTTAGAAATATAATGACAGACTGGAATGATAGGGAAATAGACTCTCTGGAGATTCGAATTAACACCTATTTCAATTCTGCCAGTGTGCGATCTGATGAAGTCGTAAGCTTTCCATTCGTCATTGCTAAACTTCTTACGGTCTAGATGAGACTTAGCTGATTCAAGATTTTCAGCTAAGTTATGGAATAGGGTAAATATTTCAAAAGCCTCAGTGATACTCTCTTCAAAGCTATCCTTTTAGAGTTTGTTTTCAAGATGACTGACTGAAAGTTCTGCTACTGTGCTAAAATCGTCTTTGAGCATTTTTTGGCAAAAAGCAGTGAAAACTACCAACATTCTCTCTTTCATAACTCCAAAATCCAAAGATAGAGTCATTCTTGTTATAATATCAATATCTGTCTCTCCTTCTAAGAGAGAGAGCAAAAGTGTGACTATTTTCTTTTTGAAGACACTTATCTGCTCCTGGTCCTCTGGGTCGCTTGAGAATCCAAGAGGGATGTATTCGACCTCTTTATCAAATCCTGCGATATAATCTCTACTTGAGTCTATAATCTTGGCCGAGATCAAGGCTTTTTAGTTTTTGTGGCAAGGACCCTAGATGAACTCAATCAAGCAATCCACAATCTGATAACCTAATTCGACTGTTACAGTATTGAGAATCTTAGAGTATTAACCGAATAGTTTTGCCATCTATGTAACCAAATCGAAGGTTTTGCCATTAGGATTGCCTTCAATATTTAGCTGCTCTCTTAAAGCATTTTAAAGGTTGATATTATGGTTCTCGCAAAGCAACTGTAGGAATCTCAATAGAATTTACAGCATGTAGATAGCTCTTTGCGGTGAAAGAGTTTCTGCGTCTTTAGCTGATTGATTAACTGATTCCGAGTCTTTGATCTCATCTTTAAGAATGCTGAGCTGTTATTCTAATTTTTTAATTTCTTGGCCATCAACATCGAGTATTTCTCTTAACTCCTCAATTTCTATATTTTTTAACTAATTATTTTGCTTACTCTTTTAAACCTGATATAGCTTAAGCATTTGAGCATTTCTCTTGATTTCAGACTTTTTAATGACTTCGAAGCATTAAAACATGAGATCATTAACTTTCTCTGCAAACAGATTCTCCGTGTCTTTCTAAATGTATTTATAGAATTTTTGTTAAGATTTGTGGTTTCCTCCAAGAAGAACTGCGATAGCCACTAAGATAGCCTCTTCTCTGATGCTTCTAGAGGATTCATACGAAATAATCCTGCAAATGAGTTTCACTACCCCTAGACTGGTGAGCATGCCTTAGCGTTCATTAATCTGATACTCATATTTCATCCAATCCTCTGACTCCCACTAAGCTGCAGGTGTCGTCAATTCCTTATTTTCCAACTCAATAGTCTTTCTCAGGATCTTCAAAGAGACTTTCCTCAGATCTTTTTCAATACTTGAATTTATATCAGTTATGCCTATCAGTGATTTCAAAATGTCCTTAGGCTCCAAAGTATTTTTGCCTTCAAAACCGATTTCTGATTTCTTCTTGATAAATATAATGGAGAGGATAAGTTGTTGGAATTCCTTCTCGAATTCTTCAATCAACTCCTGAGAGTCTCCAGCTGATATCATCATAGCTTTAAGTTTTTCAGCATTAGTTAGTTATTTTTTGTCATCGTTGTCCTCCTTACTTCCTTTTTTAGTAGCTTTGCCGTCAGCTCCTTTCTTTTTGTCCTAGTTCTAAGCCATATTTTGCACTCCCTCAGATAGTTCTTTTAGCTGTGGAATTTTCCAAAGGGTCTTGAAGATATTATTGACATTTCTAACGTGGACCTTGGATCTGGCATAATGAGACAGCTTCTAAAAGTGCCTAATAATTTTGCGGACCAGAGCCACTTGATGCTCATTCATCTTCATTCTCAGTTCGAAGAACTCATTCAAGGCAGGGACCAGAGACTCATAGATGTACTTTTGGAACAACTCTATGATTGTGATAGAACCAAAGCAGTTATGAAGCTTAAAATTCTTATGTATATCAACAGCAGTTAGCTTATCAATCTCTCCCTGAACAAGGGATTTCTTGTTGTTGACTGCTCTTCTTTCGTTTTCAATGGTCTTGGTCTTATGCTTGGAATGTCTTGTCATTACCTCAATGAATTTCACAATGTCTTCATGGAATAACTGTAATGAAATTAAGATTAAATGGGTTAATATATTACTTCTATGATCTACCAGATGAATACGACATACTCATCTCCCTAGTCTTTTTCAGTACTAAGATAAATATGCAGAGTGAAATCAACTAATGAGGATTTATAAGGGTAGCAGAACTCTGATATCTTTAGGTTTTAGACAATTTCCTAAATGGGGAATAGACTTTGACATTTTAGTTCAGTCATTGAGTTCTTACCCTCTCCGCAAACAGACAACAGTTTGATATATTCAATGGTGTATTAAAGTTCATTTGGCACGAAAATCTCTGGAACTAGTTTCTAGTCTAGCATGAACTAAGCATAGTGCTTTTTCATTTCTTCCATGTAGAGCTCATACGTTTCTAGCCCTTCATTACCAGTAAACAGGTAGAAGGTGTTCTTTCTCTAGGAGTTTGTGACTTCATTCAGGATCAAAGACTAGTTATCCTTCAATAGCAAGCTATTAGTTTTCATGAATCCTTAAAGGAAGCTGATTAGTGTTGCCTTCTTAGGAGATTCAATGTATTATTCGTCAGCAAGAGAGCAGATTTTTTTGACTATCTGGTTAATGTTGTATCCAGGCAGACTCTCATTGTCTCTGAATATCTCTGCAATTAGTTCAATAGCATGGACTCCAAATTCAATATCTTGGAGGAACAAGTCAATGTGAGGCATTAGAATCTATTGATTTTCTCTGTTATTCTTGGTAAACTTGATAAGGAATATATAAACTCTTTCAAGCACATGAAGATAGGAGTTTTGATTCTCAGCGTTCGACAAGTCCTATTGCTTAATCAAAATTAGGGCAACTTCATGAGCTCTAAGGTTTCTGAGGAGTCTTTAGTTCTAGGGATCAGCTTCATCTGTTTCTTATATGACCTTGAGATCGTCATCATCCCACTCATTTACTAATTCTGAGAGATTTAAATCTTTTAGCATTGAGGAGCTGCCTGACTCATTAGTGGCATTCATCACAGCTCCAAGAGTAGTACCGTTATCCTTTTAGATTAATTCTTCTTTGTTTATGTGCTGAACATTTCTAGATTTCCTTCTAGCACTCTTTTTAGGGCTCACTCTCGATTCTTACTTCTGAATAGACTAATTAAGTTTGTTGATATCTTAGAAGTCATACACTCTTTCCTGTTTCTTAATACATAGATCAGTGAGCATGTCAAACTTATCTATGATGTTTCTTGACTTCTTAAGTGCATCTTGTGAAGCATAACCAAACCAAAACTCTGCATTTTCAGCGTCCTTTTTCATTTCTGTTAACTCGACTGACACTGTTTTAAGAATGGCTATCTCTTAGTCATCTTCAAGCAACTGAACCTCTGTTGCCAGCTCGATGATAGATCTCTTCTAGGAGAAGAATTTGACCAAAAGTTTGAAAGCATTGTTTACAAGGTCTGGATTCTGATATAGAATAAGGTCGAGCAAAATGCAAACGAAATCTCTGGCAGATATTCTCTCTAAATCAAGCATCTTATCCTCGAAGGCTTTATTCATCCAATCAATTACTAATTAATCGTTGGCATTCTTAATCTCAACAAATTTCTCATCCTTAGTAACCTTCTCGTCTTTGTGCTTGCCCTTGAGAACTTTTTGTATAAAATTAGTTTGAGCTGAGGTGTCCTTTGGATTATTCTTGTAAAACTCAATCAAGAACTGTGTTAGCCTAATGTCATTCTACATATCGAGGACCTTTGAAAGTACATTGATGATGGAATTCTTGATCATCATAAGTAAAAGATTGGTCTCATTAGTTTTGTATCTCTTATTTCCATCTTCACCATCTTTCTCAGCCATACTTTTCCCTGGATTATCATTGCCTTAATCCTAAGTCTGGGTTCTGTAGATCTACTCATCTTCCTTTGTGATAAAATCCAAACTTCCATCGAGCAGTGTGATCAAGGGATCAATCATTTCAATCAACTCCTCTTCATTCTCGTAAAAACCAAGTTTAAGCATTCCAAACACAATACCTAGTACTTCTAGCACATAGTTGTTGAAGTCAATTTCATAGGCTCTGGAGATACCATTTTGCTGAACGAAGAACTTAGTCACGAAGGGCTTTAACTGAAGGAGTTCATCAGTGATTCTGACTTTTGACTGAGGCAGCTGAGTCTTGCTCTGAGATATCTCGTGCCAAACTCGAGTCAAGACTGGTATTGTTATATTTTCCAAGGGATCTTTATCAATGTGCAAGTGAAGCAGAAGCTTTGCAAACTTAGACCTAAGCTTAAGTGGAATGCTAGTTGAGAGTGCACAGTAAAGGACTTGCTTGCTGTTGTACATCTTTTCTAAAAGCAAGATGCCTTTGTAGTTTCTCTGCAGACATATCTCGGCTGATAGATTAATTAATGCCTTGAAATAGTTGAATATTCTATATTCGTCTCTTTTGCCTGAAAATTCAAATAAATCTTCTACCTTTATCCATAAAGTTTTTCCATCGACATCATGCTCTTTAAGAATGATCTCATGGCTGCTATCTACAGTGATCATCTTGAGGACAAGATTCTCTCTGTTGTCCTCATCTTGAAGCAGAATTTCACAAGTATCATCCTGGTTACTTGCTACTGCATCTCCATTACAAGAGCAGAGAGTAGATAGTAGGTTCAAGAATCTTTCATTTTTCTTTTGCAGCTTGCACAAGTCTATGAAGTTCTGGATAGTTTCCTTAGAGATTTGCTTATCTAGCAATACTTTATTGTTCCTCAGTAACTCAGTGATTGTGTTCTCAGCCTAGAAATTATTCTGCTCAGTGGTCGTCATAGCTTGGTTAAAGTAGAGTTCGATGTATTGTGCTACATAGAATTTGTTCATGGTGTTGTCCTTAACTGCATGTTTGAGAAGTCTGTAGACTAGTTTACAGATTCTAGTGATTGGGTGTCTCTGAGTCAAGTCTAGAATATTGTAAAGCTTCTCATGGAATGGGTAGTGCAGTATGTCAACCAGGATGTCAATCACTCTGATCTCTCTAAGATACTTTTGTCTGTCCTTGTATGGAATACCCTCACAAGTGAAAGCATCCTTGCTCTCAGTTTCAGTTACAAAGAATATTAGGTTTTCGAGGGTCTTTTCAAAGGATGAGAAGTATGGAAGAGTAAATTTATCTATCTGCTTTCTTCTGATTTGGGTTATGAACTACTTAATGGTGGGCACACAAGAATGAATGAAAAGCACATCCTCAATCTCCTTGTGATGACTCTTTTTTATAATGAACACATCATCTTCTCTCGAGATTTTCTTAAGAACTATTTTTTGAATGATCACATTGTTGAACTCGTCTTTATTCATTGGGGTAAAGATCTTAGCATCAAGGTGGTTGTCATTCTCGATCAGACTCATCTCTTCCTCAAGAGAGTTTCTCTCTAGGAATTCATCATCGACCACAACATCGCCTTCATCTTCATCTGACCCAGGAGCATCGTCTTAATTGTTCTCCTCATCCTGTTAAGTCTTGATTTTAACTGAGTTAATATAATATCCAAGATCGGCACTCTTTATCTTTACCACACTGTCACACTTTATAAGGTTCTCAGTTTCATGGCCTGATGATTCCAAACTAAAAAATGTCTTATTTACAAGCAATTCTTTGGCATTATCGTCTAGCTGATCTTCCATCTTGATAAAGTCATGATTTTGATCCTCATCTTATGAAGGGTAAACTTTTGCTAGTATCATATAGTGCATTTCTTTGCCTCCTATATTCATAGATTTGATTTAAAGTACTCTGCCGCTGTTCAAGTGTCTGAATCTCATTTTGGCTGGTACCTTTTCTTTCTCATTCTACCAAACAGCTAGCTGACCTCTCTCCTCAGTTGTTTCAGAATCCAGTTCAATTTCAAACAGGGAATTGGTACTAAGTTGCTCTAGGTCTTCGTCACCCTTAAAGATTCTGATGTATGCTTTTCTCTCCCCATTCGGTGCCTTGAATTCATCGTCTACACAGATGTAACCGCCGCTCTCTGCATGCTTTAGCCTGACTACATCGCCACCGTGTATCAAGAAAGACTCCTTTGGCTTAGCGATTGATCTGTATGGCAGAATTTACCACTTTTTGTAAATCGGACTGATGTTTACTTCAAATCTTTAATAAAGAGCCTCAGCTATAATATTAATTAATTCGAAAATTTATATTTACGATTCAACCTGCGAAAAGGACTCTTAGGTCTGTAGGATGATGGTATATCGGTATTTTCCTCTTGTGGCAAGTCTAGATCTCCTGAGAAATGCAGGTATGAATGGAACTTAGAGTTGTACACCAGAATTTAGTCTTGGAAAATGATCTTTTCACCCGGCTGTCTGTATTTGTATCTGGGGTATATTTCGAAGACTGCTCTGCTTGAAGAAGGATTCGTTGTTAGTTCAACTTTACTGCATTCTTTGTCATAATCTGCTGTTTGCTTTGAAACTTGAAGGAATGCTCTAGAGTCACAGTGCATAAGCTGAATCTCACTTCCGTAGAGTACTGAGTCGCCATGTCTAATCTTTATGAGTCTCATATTGAACTCCTGCTCTTGAGTCATTCTAATCTTCTGCACTTGTAAATTCCTCATAAGAGCAGCTTTATCATGCAATCTACAGATGTTCATTAATTATCAATAAAATGTAGGTTATATTAAGTGAGGGTAAGTTGCTTACGTTTCCTGTCTTTGAACACCTTTGACACCCTTCTCATACATGTGTCCATCCTCTACTGATGGCTTTTGAACAGTAAGAGCATCGTACTATTTCTTAGTCTATTCGTATTCTCTTGTGGCATCGTAAGAGAGTCGAGGGATGAGCTTGAACGCCATGTTTCTGACATTTGGAGTATGCTAGAGTTGTGATGGATCACATTTCTAAACGAATACTGCTTGGTGGTTAAACCTACATAAATTTAGAATTTGATTTTCGCTTACCCAATTGAAGCAACAAAACCTGAGTTTTGTTCGGTAAATAGAAGGATACAATCCCCTATTTTCAAATGATTCTAAGTCATCTTCTTAGCAATTTTAAATAATATTAATTAAGGGTATCTCTATTTCTTAATTTATTCTTTTCTTATCTTTTTAAACATTTTCTTAGTCTTACGATTATTTATGTGGGGTTTTGGGGTTTTGGGGTTTTGGGG